CACCGCCGCCAACGGTCGTTGGGTCTTTGGCGGGGGAGAGTTGTCAGGAATGATGTAAAAGGAAAAAACAAAAAAGAAAAAATAAAACAGAGGACAGTTCTAGCTGCAGCGAATCTCTACGTGTGCTGTTTTTGTTTTTGGGCAGGCCGGTTAGGTAATGACAGCAGTTAGGAGCGGGCGGGACGCGGCAGGAAGTGCTGCGTGGGCTGCGGCCCCGCCGCGCTGGGCAGGGTGCGGGGGCCGCGGGGTCCGGCCCCGTCCTCGTGGCGCCTGTAAACGGGGCGATGCGCTGCGGGACGCGGGCGAATCACACCTATTTCCTTCTTTTTTGTTTTCCTGTACGTGCAGATTAATTTACAGATGTGCATCTGTTTCACGCAAAGAAAGCATCGAGTCTTGTATGTGTTGCTCAAAGAGATACAGCGCGTAGGAGGGCGTGTATGTGCAGTGTTTTAAAAATGCTCTTGAAGCAAGCACATTGTCAGAGCTATTAACTCCAGTGTCAACCAAATGCAAAAATTATTCTAATTCATAGGGAGGCCTGAAGGGTTTCATTAACACTATCTGGATAATCCATGACAAGTGAATTGAATTAAAAACTTTTCTTTTAACTTCTCCTAAATTTTGGTTGTGCCTAAATCAATTTCTATGCCAGTTTAGACAGCTAGCACGGGTAGGTCATGTTTTGTCGGTGCTACCTTATCTTTGTAGGTCACCAAGAACACGAGCCCAAATTTGGAATGGGAAATGAGTGAGAAAAGCAGATCCTTTAAAACAGCTTGCTGTAAAACTTGATTGATATCTTACATACTATGTATGCAAGATATAATGAAAACTTTATTATATAACCATAAGAATTTAGTTCTATTCACATTTATAGGAAACCTGTATGCACTAAAATGAAGATGCTTTCAGTAATACATGAATCAAAGAAAATGATTTTAAACAACTGTGTAGTCTGTCAATGAAATGGTGAAATTTCCTTTATTTCAAATATCCTTCCTTCTACTACTTACATGCGACAGTAGGAGAAGGTCAGCTGGGGAAAACATGGCGATTTCATTAAGCTTGGCTTAAAGATGCTAGGCTATGATTTGTAAAGGTGACTAAGGAGTCAGAAAACCAACTCAGGCTGAATTTTTCCCCCCATAGTTCAGTGGCTCACTGACCTCTTCTACTGCAAAAATTCTTTTAGCAAATGTCCTGGCTAAGAAAAGGATTCAGGTCATTCTTCCAGCAGCTTAGAGATTTTTCTGGATATAAACATCCAGCCTTACTTTTAATAAGGCCCGTGATTCTTATAATCCTCTAGTGTCGCTGTCCTATTGCTAAACAACTGTTCTAAAGCATGTTGAGAGATTCCCTTTTCTGTAGAAAAAAAAATGTGAGGTTTCTTCAGTCTCTACATTTTTACTTTTTCTATAAAGGAGTACAAGAACGTCTAAATGCCAGGCTAGTGTTCTAAACATGCTAGTATGTAAAACCTTTTTGAAATTTTCATTGTAGGTAATTTCTTGTAACACCTACTGCAATTAGAAGCTTGGACTACACTCATCACTAGATGCAGTTCTACTCTATAGCAAGTGGGTGGTGTTATGAAAACTGTATGTTTCCAATCTTTAGAAATGAGTTGCACAATTGAGAAAGCCCTAGCAGATGCCAAGGCGCTGGTGGAGCGGCTCAGGGAACATGACAACGCTGCAGAAGCTCTTATTGAACAGACTACAGCTCTTAACAAGCGCGTGGAAGCAATGAAACAGGTTTGTTTTTCAGTGTTTGTTTTCTCTATTAAAAACAACATACAACCTGTGACATGTTAATATGCCTGTAAAATAATAGAGCCCTTTGCATGCTTCATGCCTATCAAATTAGTCATGAACAGGCCTTGTGACTTTAAATAAAGGGTGTCAAATAGAACAGTGTATTGGGAAGGTATAGTAAATATCTCGTATATATTTCCACATAGTTTCTCTTTACTGTGTATATATATGTGTGTACATATATATATATATATATATATACACACTATATATATAGATATGTATCAGTTGTAATCACTGATGGTGAATTTGGTCTACACTAAGTCACTGAAGATTAAATCATCCACACTTTGTAAATTTGGAGTATTAAACTTCTTTTAAAAGAAAGGCAATGCTTTTGCATCTGTGAAGGATGTTAAGTTAGCGAAACCTTCAGATATAAGACTAGGATTTGTTTTTAAAAAGGAATTATTTAAAAATAAGCATCATCTTGCTGGCCTCAGGCTTTGACACTAGAATTGGTTCTTGCTTGACTTTCTTGACTGACATTGTTGTTGTTTTTAATTGATTAGTACCAAGAAGAAATTCAAGAGCTTAATGAAGTAGCAAGACATCGTCCTCGGTCTACCCTAGTGATGGGTATCCAGCAGGAAAACAGACAGATTAGGGAACTGCAACAGGAGAATAAAGGTAAGGCTGGATTATTCTACCCTTTGTGAGCTCCTGACTTGCTCCATTGGAATCAGCAGCAGTTGCACCATTGATTTGTTTTCTTCTAATCTTAGTTTTTCAGTTTAACTGATCTTGATGTAATACAGTCCTAATGACAACTACTAGGACTATGATTAATGGGAAAAATGAGTTTTGGAAGATGGGATTTTTGATCCATGTCTTAAATTTCAGTAAAAATCACGAAATAATTAGAATTTACTTATATAGTATAGGTATTTATTTAGAAACATGTTTTCCCATTGCCAAAAAGTAACTAATTTAGGAGCAGGCTAGTTGCAGTCCAAGACTCTCCTCTGGAATTCCTTGGGCATTCCAACAGTTATGTTCAGCAAAGGAGCCAATGGTCTTGATTCATATCAATATTGTCTCATCCCAGGAATTTTATCTTTTTATGAAGCATGAAAACATCAAAGAGCAGATTTCTGTTTTTCTTCTTTTTTTCCTTATCTTTTAAGTTTGCTGCATGGAAAGTTCTGCTTTGCAAAATTAAAAAAAAATTAAGAATCAGATTATTTTAGTCTTTTAGATTAGAGCAAAACTTAGTCTATTTTGCACACAGGCATTTTTTTCCACTTTTATTTCATGAAGTTGCATATTAGAACAGATCTATAAACTGCTTTCTGTATTACATATGGTGTTGCTTAAAGTATCTAGAATAAAGTTCTGAAGAGCCTCTGCTTTTGACCAAACAAGAATTTTCCCAGCGCAGTCATCACTGAAGACATTTGCAGAGACTATGGTAGATTTTACAGTGCATGGAACTGGGGTGCTCAGCTAAGAGCCTTTTATGGTTTTCTCAGGCTGAAGAATTTCTTATTTTTTTTTCCAATAAAACCTTAACGGAATTTAAAATTCTGTTTGTAGAACTACGCACATCTCTTGAAGAACATCAGTCTGCTTTGGAACTCATAATGAGCAAGTACAGGGAACAGATGTTTAGGTTGCTCATGGCGAGCAAGAAGGATGATCCCAGCGTTATAATGAAGTTGAAGGAGCAACATTCCAAGGTAATAACTCACTGTGGTTTTTTTTTGTTGTTGTTTGTTTGATTTGTTTTGTTTTGTTTGTTTTTTTGATTAAGACTTAAATTTGTTTTTAATGGATTGATACAATACTTAATCTCAGATTTTGTATCGTTGTACTAGCAAGTTCTAATTTTTGCAATGTAGTCTATGAAACATGAACGGGAAACTTAATTAGCCTGGTAGGTTAATCTGAGTAGCTGATGATCTGTTTAAGCATCTATTAATGAGTATTTTCTTACTATAACTTCTTAATTTGCTTTTTTTGTTTGTTTGTTTAGGTCTTTAAACTCTGCTCTATTATACTTCCAGATCCTACTTCCATTTTAGTAGTATTCAGACATTTGGACTGTCTTTTAACTTTTGCCTTTGATACCAATAATAATTAGTGAACCTGTGTTGACAGGAGAAAGAGGGAGGGCCAGGGTTTTAAATTCATTTTTCCCTAAATATTTATCTCTTAAAAACACATCTTAAAAATCCTTTCGAATATTGAATGTCTGGATGTACAAACCTCCTCTTTTCTACTTCCATGCATGGTTCTTGTTTCAGTACTAATCATAGAATCATAGAATAACTGTTTGGGTTGGAAGGGACCTCTGGAGATCATCTAGTCCAACTCCCTGCACACGCAGGGTCAACTGGAGTGTGTGGCACAGGGTCATGTTGAAGGGGGGTTTGAGAATCTCCAGAGAAGGAGATTCCACAGCCTTTCTGGGCAGCCTGTTCCAGGGCTCCATCACCCTCACAGAAAAGAAGTTCTTCAAAACTGCTAAGTGGCATCCAGATCAGCCCAAAGTGCTGGAGTGGTGGGCAAGTTGCTGGGATTAGGTAAACTTGTTATGGCTTTTGAAAACTGGAAAAGGAAAGTGCTGTTAAATAGTGTTTTCCTAAACTAGTGTGAGTGAGGTATGTGCAAGTGTTCCAACAGCTTCAGATAAGATTAGCATATATTTTTATAGCATTAAATAAACAATTTACATATACACTGCCATAAATATTATTTTAATGTTTAGAGGTCATTAACAGATCTTTAGTTTTCTAACAAGGTAATTTTATTACATTTTACCTGATTTCTAGTTATCAGAAAGCAGTGTAACTGTGGACAAAGTGTAGTTATAAGTGTTTAATCCTGTTTAACCTCTGCAAAATCAAGTCTGCAAAGCCAAGTTAGGATCTGGCTACAAGGCAAACAAAGCTTTAGGATTTGCAGACTGTGAAAGCTTCCTTATCTCCTTACAAATTAATATGCTGATTAGTGCTATAGAAATCAGTGCTATTAAAATAAATAGAACTACTCAGATTAACATGAATGAATTGACAGAATGAGAGCTACATTTTTAATATAAACTCCTAAAAACTCATAAGCATATACCCCTTTCTGAAGAAACTACTGTACCAGATGGAATGGCACATCCTGCAGTCTCAGGAGTAGTTTTGGTACCAAGACAAGAGAGTAAAATGGTATTTAATCCTGAAATGGACTGAGAAATTTAATTTAGAAACATTTTTTTGTGGATAAAAACTTGAACAGTGAACAATATTATTTAAGTCAAAAGATTTAGGCTACAGCATCTTAGGTTAAACTGCTCTCCACAAGAATGACCGATGAAGAGCATTCAAATTCTTATCCTGACACTCAGAATTTCTAGAATTTCATTATTCTCACCAGTCTTCACATTCAGTTAAAAAAAAAAGCAGTCTTGAAGCATTCTAAACATTTCTCATGTTAACTAAAATATCCGTGATGCCTAAAATTTAATCTCACTGTTACCAAAAATTACTGTTCTCTCAAGCAGTAGCTATCAACTTTGGTGCCTATTTACAAAAGATTTTTTAACACATTGATTTCTGCAAATCAATACTCACCTCATTTAAACAGAACAAAATTATTTTTTTTTCTTTATCGGGGTTGCATGTATCAGAAAACTATTTGGGCTGGAAATAATGATCTTGATTTCAGTACACTGCTTGAGTTTGCTCAATTGAACAAGGTCTGTAAACATGGGTTTTTTTTTTCTTTTCTGAAAACAACCAATATATGGCAAATGAAAAGGAGAAATATATTTAAAAAAAAAAAGTGTTTGGATATATTGAGGCTGTAAGGAAACACCTTCACTGCAGTGCCTCATGTCACAGCATCTAACTTTTACACATCTGATTTTGAGAGGAGAAGCTTCAGTTTTGTCCTAGCAGCTTATTAATGACCTTGGAACAGCCTCTGATCAAGAAGCCACAGAGGCCACCAAATAGCAAGTGATGAAGACAGCAGGATATCTGGAAACCAGAGCTCTTTTCATGACTTGGATACTTGCAGCTTGTGCTCTCGTCACTGTCCTTGCTTATTGAAATGCTAAATATGTCCTTTCAAAATGGTGCTGAAAACTATCTTTAATTGAAAGAAAAAAAGTATATAAGCATTATTTGGAGAAGAAAATAATGAGATACATGCATGCAGGTTACTTTTTGCCGTGCTTCGAGGGGAGACTACTACTTCAGCTACTTCCTGAGTAAACAACTAAGCTGTAGCATCAGCAGTTGAAAGGGCAGAGAGGAAAAGTAGGAAGAGTGATGTGTGGTTTAGTCAGCCAGGGTTTATGATTCTAAGCGAGGTAGTTTTTTATGACACTTTAATAGTTTTTGTGTAGTTTAAAGGTAAGAGAGCAGTTTAGCTAGAAAAGATCATGTAAATCCTGTTTTCCTTCTTAAGGCTGCGGTGCCTATGCCAGTAATTCTTGTCATCCTTCTCCTGGCAGTGGAGCAAGGACAAGGACCTCTGGAGTCCAAATCACACATAAGCTGGAACTGGAAGTGGATTTAAGTGCAAGTACCCATGCCAGAAGTTCCCTAATATATGGCATAGGGGGGATGATCACCTTACCTAGCCTTTTAGACTTTTATCCTACTTTTCAGAGAGAAATGCCTACCTGGGGGCTGGCACTGTCTGTACCCGCCTTGCGATTAGGTCTCGAGTGGAAAACAATGTCTCCTACGCTGCTGTTCTTAGAGGAATTCAATCTTTCTGCAAAGCCAAAAGATAAGACATCAACTCCTGCAGTACAGGAAGTTCTTGCCAGAGCAAGCACATGGTTACCTTTGCAGAGATTATCACTGATGCTTTTAAAAACCAATTCTCCTTTGAAAGGAAATGCTATGTGACAAAACAGATTTTGTTTCGATAAACAGAACCACAGTGGCTGCTCATGTATAAAGTTACAGAAAGCTTGTTTTATTTTACAAGTTCAGATCTGTCGTACTATTTTTATTAGGTAGGACAGCATTAAATGTACATTTAATGCTTCACTTTTAATATTGCAGAGAAAAAAAATAGTACTAAAGCTGTCATTATTTTGTTTCTATGGCTTAGGAATTGCAAGTGCACGTGGACCAAATCACAGAAATGGCAGCAGTCATGAGAAAAGCCATTGAAATTGATGAGAAGCATGGCTGTAAGGAGCAGGAGCGTATCATTCAGCTTGAAGTAAGTAGGAAATGGAAACAGCAGTGGCACAAAGCAGGGATTCACCTCCTCTCCCCTCACCTCCTCTGAGGATGAAATGCTTAGAAGTGACAACTGTCATATATTAATGGAAAACATTCTGGTAACGTACAAGTCAGGATGCAGCCCCCAAAACAGGGAAGTCTTTTGTCTATTGTTTGTCTGGGGGATTGGGGAAGCAGGTTACCACTAAGTGCCTGTGTTCACAAAAGCTTTAAAGTGCACTCCAGATTTCTCAAAGATTTCATTCACCCCTAGCAAGGGAGTAAATGTTATCAGAATTACTTTTCTGGAGTTATTGTGTCTTTCTGGAGTTACTGTATCACTCACACTGCTGTTTTGTTACACTTCCCTTGTTGGGTGCATTCTTAAGTTTTTTTTTTCCTCACAGTAGCGCATTCTGTCCAAGTTGTACACAGTTTGGATACTTCTTGCCCAGAGATTAGTAATTATAGGCGTAAGCTTTCTCTTTTTTGAAGTGTCTGAGTGCAGGAAAAAGCTAAGAAATATACAAATTCATGCTAAGGACTAAGAAACCAGGATGTAAATTAATATGTCCACATCTTTAGCTTTTAAAATCACTTTTATAATACTGTGGTTTTTAAGGAACTCAGATATTTAACATTGCAGGGGCAATGCTTTTTGATCAACTGCTAGTGAAGTAGTTCATTACGAGACAATGTGAATAGAAAGACTTCTTATTAAATGCAATATTTGAAGTAAATTAACTTTTCTTATCCAACTTTGCATAACGAGCTTTTTTTTTTTCTTTTTCATTGCTTATTACCCATTCAATAGAGCAAGAAAATCAAAAATCAATGCACTTATTTTTAAAGGATAACATAACACTACCTGACTGCAAATGCCATTTTTATTCCTCATACATAGGTATGGAGTGGAGGGGAGATTATTACTGTAGTTGACTTTTTTTTTTTTTTTGGTGGTTCTTTTAAATGCCTTTTCTTTCTCTGCCTATAGCAAGAAAACAAAGGCTTAAGAGAAATTCTTCAGATAACTAGAGAATCATTCCTGAACCTCAAGAAAGAAGATGCATCAGAAAGCACATCTCTGTCAGGATTAGTAACAAGCAGTGATCTGAGCCTGAGGAAAAGCTAAGGACTATGCAAGTCAGGCAGCTTCAATTGCACACTTTACCAATGGAGTATCAGGGGTCACTTGTCAAGCACTTGTTACTGAATAGGGCACCAGCAAACTGAAGCATCTTAAAAATCAGTTTAGTGCGTTTTATTCTGCGTGAAATAAATTGAAATTGGTATTCTACAAAAAAAAACTTAGCGATAGGTTAATTGCCATAGAACTAACTTCAGTAGGAAATGGTTTAATGCACCTACTGAATGGGGAATTATTTTTATATGAAGTCGTTTAACTGATAAACGCCAGGATTTCACATGACCTGTATACCAAAATTTCATAGAAAATTTCAACACAGCTGTGATAAAATAAAGGCAAGATTTGAAGCCAGGTCTTTCTGGCTCAAGTAGTAGAAGTGGGCGAGCTTTGTGTGCCCTAACTCTTCTCCTCCAGAGAAGACCAGGCTTAGTTCTCAATAACCACATTAGTCCCATCAATTTTCTCTCAGATAGTCTGCCCAAATTTTCTAATTTGGAATTTGAAATTTTAATTTCCATTTGAAACTCCCCAGAGTGTAGCAGCAGGAAGGTGTTTGGGGGAAGGTGATGCTGGCAGCCTGGGTGCCCACCCCCAGTGCTGTTCATTTATCTTTCATAACTACTAAATAGTCTTCAAGCAGTTTTTTAGATACGTTTCGGGTGCATGTTCTGTTTTCACTAGAAGTTTCAACATGGCAATCGCCTGCTTGTTTTTTAACCCTGAAACACCTGGCACCGCTGATGAAGCTGTAGCTTTTGTTGGATGCAGGCACTAAGAAGTGCTACATGAGGCAGGTCTGCAGTAAGAGGTGCTGAGATAGCTCGTGTTTGACTTTTGTTTGTCAGACTCCTTCTGTTCCTTGCTCAGGGCAGCAGCAAGAACATTCCAAACTAGCACTGATGTTTATCACCACCACTTTGTCTTGCATGTTCCTGTGTTCCCAGCTTGGACCATACGCACAAAGCAGCGTAGCAAAAGCTCTCTGCCACGGGAAGGGGTTTATGCATGAACAACAGCCATGCTTGGATGTCTTGGCTGCTTCATAACTCACCTAGCAAAAGAAGCTGGACTCTGAAAATAATTTTTATTTAATCAAATCTGATTTTCAGTTGCAGCAATGCAAAGGCAAATTAAGCAATCTATTTTAAAGTGTGGCAGATTTAAATAGAACTTCACCTTTGACTCAGCATAACTTCCGTAGGCTCAAGATGAATATACCATGAGGTCTAATTTTCAGCTTCCAGTGAGCTGAATTCCCAGAGAGTGTAACACGTTTGTTCTGGTGCTGTGATCTGCACCCTCTCCCCTTTCCTCCAGTGATGTTAGGAGAAACAAGCAACGGGGAATGTTTAGTAGAGGCCACAAATGCCAGTTTTTCATCAACTGATGCACATATCAGGAAACCCAGTTGTAACAGGACCTGAGAAAGGAGAGCTATAAATGAAGCTCTCCACATTTCTCCAGCAGTTTTTGTACAATTAGAGAGACTGCTACTTCTCCTTCCCCCAGAAATCTTGGCTTGTTTCTGGGTTATAAGAATACATTGAGGACACTCATGCACGTGAAAAACGTTTTCACCCTTTCCCTTTAGCCCTTTCCCAAACATTTTGGGGAAGATTTGGAGGAACATTCAGGCTCCAGCATAAAATCTACTGGTCCACTATAACTACCTGTAAAACTTTCCCAATGCTTATATCATTTACACTTTGCATTTCTACTGTAGCTTGCAGGCGGTGACTTATCAGTAGTGAATTCTTTTTGAGACATGCAAAATTTAGAGAAATTTTGTTTTAAAGTTTTTTTTTTTAAGTGTCTTTTCAGCCCTGACTGAGGTATCCATTTTATCCCAAATGCAGTTTCATGGCTGACGTTCTGGTTTGTCTTTCAAATGCAGAGCCCAGAGTCCTACAGCAGAGAAGGGTTGTTAGTCTGTGGCAGTTCGTTAAGGTTGCTCTATTATGAAATAATGCTTGATTAGTGTTTATTTTTGTAAATTAAGAAATGTGACTTAATTTATCTTTTCCTACTCTTCACGCGTTTGATGCGTCTCCCATTTTGTTCCCTCGGCCCTGATCACTTTAGGATTTTAAAGAACCTTCACGGTGTGTGGAGTGACTATTTTTCATGGCATACCTGTTATTTTTGTAATGCTGATGGCTTGAAAAGAATCTATGGTTACAATTGTGTACTGTACAGTAAAGTTATTTTATCAATAAAGTCAACTGAAAGATTGCCTGTGTTCATGGCTGAAGGAAGATGGGGTTGGAAATGAGCCTGGCTATTAGCATATAGGGAAATAAAGCCCCCGTTGTGTCTCTGCCTTTCACTTGGCTTCTCTTTACACTTCAAGGCAGAAAGAACATGTTGCTGTAGATGAAAAGGAGAAAAAAAATGCATTCTTCTTGGAAATCTAACAAATTAATCATATTTATTCATCTTTCAAATGAACCACTGGACCAATGTGCTAATGCAGTGGAGCAGAGAGAACAAAAATAGTCCACTGGGCGTTCAGTTTTAGAATCAAAATGTTTTCATGCAGACAGGATATGACAAATAGAGGTTTGTTGCTGTTCTTTGCTTTGTTTTTTAAGATTAGAAAAGTCTCTTTGATTTGGTTCAAGCTCTGAGTTCCTGTCAGTGATGTGTAGATAAGAATGTATAAACTGAAAATGTGAAGTGTTCTCTTCTACGGGGCTTCTTAGGAGAGAAACATGAATGTGAGTTTTTCTGCAGGGATAGGGGGTATCTTATGATAAGAGATGGTTAAACTGATTCCCGGGAAACAAGTTAGTGTCACTCGCAGCGTGTCAAGTTGTGCACAGGGAGAGGAGTAAGTCACAAGTGAAGGAAGGGGGTGCAGCAATAAGCTTGAACCTTAGGTAACTTCTTTATGAGCCTGCTCAACATCATGCTCCTTGTAAAAGCTTCTGGAAGCAACATCCAGCTAGGCGCTACCACGAGAGCTGGAAAAGAAAGAGAGGAAAAAGCAACAAGCTGCAGTGGAAATAATCTTTAGTCACTAGGTGGCAAAAAGCTGGCTGCATGCTGGTACCAGAAAGGGCCTTCTCTGAGGGGTTCCCTCTAACTTGCCTTGCACACAAAATCGCCTCTTACTGTCCTAGATAAACACACGGGCTCCCTCGAGCAGCACCCAGGCAAGGAGCAGAAAAGCAGGCGCTCTGCAAGGTGCCAGCGTCAGCCTCGTGCTGGCCTTGCTCTCCCAGAGCATCAAGTTGTCCTGGGGAAGCGTGAGCAGCTCTGAGCTGTCATTTTGGGCTGTAAGCCCTTCCCTGGCAGCTGCGCGCTTCACATCCAGCCTCGCCTGGGGCCCGTGTCACACAGTTCTCTCCAATGCAGCCAAATTAAACGTCTGCTACTTTAAGGAAAGCTGCTTGTTTCCCATATGCTAACTCTGTGGAAGGCAGATGCAGTTCCGCTGCCTGTGTGAGAAATGGCGCTGATGCTCGTGCCTCCCTTGCCCAGCCGGCTCCGAGGCCGCAGCAATCCTGGCAGCAGCCAACAGGGACACACGCTTCTCTTACAGACCAGCAGTGTTTTCTAAGCTCAGAAAAGAATAATAAAAAAGAAGAGAATCTAGAAGAACCAACCTTAAACAGCTCAAAATGACAAAAGAGGGAAATGTTCCCTAGTTCCAGTCCTGAAAAAACACATTTCTCAGCCAGAAGACAGAGAACATCAAGGGAAAGGAGCAGAACTACCAAGGGAAACGATTGCCATTGAGTTAAGGTAAAGTTCTAAAGACACTTAAAAATGGTAAAAGGAAGGAAGCTACATCTCTGCAACACTCCCACTGCCACAAATAATCCCACAGCTCTGCCTGGGGATGGCTGCTCTCCCCGAGCAGCACTCGGTACGTTTCTGAAAATTCACCTGGTGGAAGCTTAAGCGTTACGAGACACTAAGGAACAACAGCACAAACTTGAACACTTGGCAATCTGAGCTACAGTGCGAATGAAACTGAAAGCTCAAAACCTACCAAGCAGACAGGGTTTTGGGGGCAGCTAATCTAGCCAGCCAATTATTGACTCAAAACAAACAGGTAGGGATAGAGCAATACATCTCAGCAGCTCAATTAAAAGACATTGACCTCGTGTTTCAAATACTTACCGTCAATAGAATATTTACTTACCAAAATGCCAATGGTTCCTATTCTGACCATCTTCTGGGTAATTTTAGCCAAAAACTAAGATTATGATAAAACCCAGTACAAATGCTGTTGTGATGATGGTGTACCAATCCACGATGCACTGCTGCCAGTTTTAAGAAAAGGAAGAGGAAAATCTTAGTGAAAAGACGTGTTTAAATGTGAGGCATTCCCTTCTTAGGAAGAGCTTTTTCACAAGTAAAGGACCCTCAGGCAAGAAAAGAGTGAACAATAAGAGCCTACCAGCAACAAGAACTGTTGGAAGAGGTAGAAAAAGAGCTAGGGAGGCTATTTTTGCATATGCTCCAAACTGGAATAAATATATATATATATATATCTAAATAAAAAGCACAATGATAGAAAAACAACAAAATCCTTTAAATCTCACTTATTTTCTTTTGCTAGTGCAAGGAAAAGCAAAGATTATGTGAGGATAACCTCAGCACTAGCTAAGGAAATGGAAAAAAAAAAAAAAAAGACGACGCAGTACATTAGCAATAGTGACAAGATCTTCTGCATCACCGAGGGATCATTTTGTAGTCCTCACCCAGCTCATGCTCGAGATGCTGCAAGCAAAAAGACCTAAACCAATCACTCGGGCCCAACAGCTGCATCTCACCCTTCGGGGAACGTTTCCTGATCAAATCCCCTAGAGTCGCTTCTAGCACAGACTAGAGCCAAACTAGGGAGGCTGGAGGCAGCAGCAGAACATTTCCTTTGCAAAGCATCTCCTGGAGCAGTGGAGCTCATCCCAGAGCAGAGCCCTGAAGACGGCTCCCCTGCGAGCAGCAGCACAGCATGGATTTCCCACTGCCTCTGGTCTGTTCCCTCCTGGAGCATCCCGAGCGGCCCTGCTCTCTCCTGGGCAAACTACAGCACTCCGAAAGTCTCCAAAACAGGTAAATCAAGTTCAGTTACTAGTTTCTAATAATGCAAATAATAATAATTAAAAACATGCTAATGAAGAGTCAGTGATGCCTATGCCCAGTGGTAACACCATTTTGGCCCTCAAGAGGTTTTAAAGTTTTAAACCAAGGGTTGCTTTATCCTCCACTTTGATATTCGGTTGATAGTTTCACACAGTTTTGGCAGTGCCTTGAAGATAGGGAAATATCTTCATGTCTCACCCCAGGTAAGAGCCACCAAGCTCTGACAGCAAAACCAAAAGGAGATGTCAGACAGTTAATGTATCTCAAGGGGTAGCCAACACGCTAAGGATGGTGAAAGTTTCCTCAGCAGTCTCTAATATGGGTTTCAACTGTATCTTAACAATTGCCATGATCTATTCCCCACCAAAAGGCAGCACTTGGAGAAGGGACGTGTTTTCCTTGCTGCCTTCCACAGCATACCCGTGGAAAGCACAGTTTGCTTCTACCACAAGCCCTGCTTGCTCAAGTCTGCTGCAGAAAACACTCGAGCTGCCAATGCATCTTTGCCCCCAGCAGGGAACATGATCAGGTTGGGGTTGTCCTCTCAACAGGAGGAAGGAGACAAGTGTGTAGGAAGACCTGTTTCTCTAAGATCAGTCTCTTTGAGGTGACTTGTGCCACAATTTGTTTAAGGACAAAGTGCCAGAAGTTGGCATGAGGGAAAGCAAGGTGGGGGAAGAGGAGGGAAGAAATCTCCCATAGGAATTTGAGGAAGGGCTACAGAGAACAGAGGCATAGAAAAGCTGTAGGTGCAACTAAGACAAGTGTCCTATAATCATTCCAGTATTGTTAGCATAGTGCAGAAAAGATCACAAAAAAAACTTTGAGAAGTATCATGCTAGAGCAGTGCTGGAGCTACCCGAGCAGCTCATCATAACCCAGAGGGCCTCAGCTTACACAGGTTTGAAAATGCTTCATTTTCACCACCTCCAAGACCCTACTAAGGTCCCTCCAAGACCCTACTAGACTAAGGTTCCCAGGAAGCAGTTGGCATTCCTTTAGGATGGCACAAGTGCACATCACTGGAGCCAGGCAGCAACTTCTTCCAGGGAGCTGCTGCAGGCAGCAGTTCCAGGCAGCAGAAGAGGCAGGGATTGACTGTTCCTTCTCAAGCACCTTGCGCCATACCTGCAAACTGAAACCCTTCGACAGCCCTGTGCAAGTTACCAAAGAGGGAAGGATCTCCATCCCCAGCCCATCACATTGGAGAACCTGCAGCTGTTCTCCTAACTTTAGTAAATCCTTACAAGAAAAAAGCTAAGTTGCCCCTACCTCCTCCCCTGAGGCTTTTGAGTATTTTTCAGAACAAGCTACTCAGAGCTTGCTTCAGCCTTTGAACTGTAACCACCCCTGAAGTCAGTGCAGAGCACCAGCACTCTTTCAAAAAGACATCTTTATTATAAAAGTTATAGAAAATATTAGAGTTAAACTTCTTTCACAATGTTAATCACAGCAGTTATATAAAAAACCCACAAGGTAAACACGTTTAAGAGCATTTGTACGCAAAACAAGGGTTTGCTACTCGGCCACCAAACGTGGCAACGATGTGCTCAGTATCAGTGCAGGGGAGGCAGCCAGGGAGAGAGGCCACCACAGCCGCCCCGTCTGTGCAGCGGAGCTGGATCTACCTGCAGGATGGCAGCCCAGGGGGTTGATTTTTCCACTACTAAGATGTTTTAGCCTTGAATTAAGTAAATCCTCAGAAGAAAGGTTGTTGTGGCACCTTCCACACAAGTTGTTAGGTCTCCTGTACTTTTTGCCAAGAATTTAAACTGGTAACTGAAAGCCTAAGGCTGCTTAGGTTATTGGCTGGCTCTGAGTTTACTCATGGCAGAATATCCACGCAGATCCAAGCAGGAAGGGCTACCCACGTTGCTGCCCACGGTCAAAATACAATGACTGGGAGAAGAGGCAGAAGGAGGCACCAGAGCCTGTAGCAAGATGTGGGATGTGAGACTGCAGCCGTCGCATAACACGTGACAGAGCATGGTCATGCAAACACTGAAAGTGAAAACCAGACTTGGGAATGGAGGAAGAAAAGGGAGGTGATAGAAACCTGGGGACTGGTTGTGCAGTTACAGGAGCAAAACCCACAATGCTCCTGTTTGCATTTTGAAGGAAGGTTTTGTAGGAAGTGAATAAAGCCCCCACACAAGACAGTAGTTCTCCACAGAACGCAAGGGTGGTTCCCTATCTCCTTTCACACTGCATCACACTTGGGCAAATTCAGTCCAAATCAGTAAGGAATGCACTTAGTCAGCAAGGACCCTGCTCAGCATTTTGCTGGCAGTGTGCACTTCTCAAGCCTCAGAGGCAAGAATTAGAAGAGCCATTGATTTAAAAGAAAGAAAATTGCTAGTGTTTCAACCAAATTCAGGCAACGATGGCCATTGGCTACAAAGTGCTTCTTGCAGTTACTCTTTTATGGCAGCACCCCATCTAAAGGGGAGAGATGAGAGTTGGAACAAGCAACAGGCTGCTCAGGAAGCAAGCAAGGAGGCAAACCCTACTGTGGTCTGGTAGCACTTGGCTCTGTATGAAGCCTGGAGAAGCAGCTCATTGCAGAGCCAACTGCAGACAAGGGAGAAAGTCTCGTCTCAGATCACATCTGCTTTGAGTCCCAGTGCACATACACAGCAGTTAATCCAGGGCAGGTTCAAGTTCAGTCACTTAGTGCAGCTTGCAAGGTTCAATAATACTTCTTGAGGAACAAAAAAAAAGAGAATTTGCAGCCATACATTTTGTACCTCTGAAGATGTTACTTCAGCTGCTGCTAAAAACGCCTTTTGTTTATGGTCCTTCTCTTCCCTTGCAAGCTGGCAGGCTGCTCACCTTGGGGAGCGAGTCAGGCAGTAGTTTGGCAGTGATTTTCACACTGCAAGGGAAGACCTGTCTCTGTACAGGCTACCTTAGGGGCAGTTTTATATTTTGCTTATCTAAACACCAAGCTAGACCGCAGGACAGACACCTGTGCTTTAGCCAGAGCACAAGCTCTCTGCAGCAAGGCGCACGTGTGCTGCAGGAGGCCGAGCGGGCCGCGGGGGAAGAAAGCGGCCCCAGAGCAGCATGTAGTGTATCGAGAGGTCAGTGCCCCACTTCCGAGCCAGGCAGACACCACCCTCCCACCAAGCAGGGTGGGAAAAGCCAACCATCACCCATCTCGTGCCAATTCCAGACTCTTCTTCTGTGTCCGACAGTTCTTCGGCTCCCTACAGAAGCAAGGGAGTTCTTTCCCCGGCTGGCTGCTCTTTCTGGAAGACCTCTTTGATCTGCAGGAGTTTGCTGTGGATCCGCTCTCGCAGGGGAGGGATGTGGTGGCTCGGGTCCAGGACATTCGTGCTTCTGCGCTCTCTTTCCCGCTTCCAGAGGAGATAGGGCGGCGGTGGGAAGGGCACCTCACTCCTCTCTCGGCGAAGCTGCACAGTCACACCAGTGACGGCCAACATGGCCCACACGGCCAGAATGATGAAGTCTAAAGGAAGAAGAGAAGAAAACGTATATTCCCATGACAAAACGGAGTCTTCCCACCCTTCCCAAGCACAGCGCTGCCAAGTCTGAAGACAGGCATGAATGAAGTATTGTCTCTGCATCCTCACTCCTACGAGTGTGTCTGCACAAGCACAAGAGGAGACCACACACATGGGGCTGGTGCAACATATTAGCTGCAGGTTTAGATCTAGTGAGTGCCCACTCTGCAGAGCCATCAGCAACAACTCAGAGGTGGCAGTCCAGGCCTGAGGAGCTTAACCCCAGCACACAAGTGCTGGGAGCCTCATGTCTGCATAGGCTGACTCAGTATTTCTCCAGAAGGACTAGAATTTTTTGATTTGGGTGTTAAGCCTCTCACCACACTTGCTCTTTTCTCCACTCATTCCCTCCTGCTTCCCAGCACAGGCTGTTCACAAGGAAGCAGAGACAGAGGGTTTCTCAGAGACGCACTGCATACCCTAGTGTTTGTACTAGCAGTAAAGAGGCCATATTCACCCTCCAAGACACTTCCTACTTAAAAATTTTAGAGTGCTAAGCAGTACAGTTCCTTTCCAGATGTGAGTTTATTTATCCAGCTACAAAGTTGGGAGAGGAATCGAGCCTAGAACGTTGGCAGAGTGCAGCCTGCCATCACTTGGTTTGTTAAGGAAGGGGGCCCGAGGAGCAGCCCTCACCGTTTGTTTGGAAAGGCACATGGGTGTAAGCTCTGCTGAAGGAGTCGTTGAGGATTCTCCGGAGCAGCTCTAAGGTGACGTAGGCGAGACTCGTGAAGACGTAACAAGCAACAGCCAAGACCACCGAGTAAGAGCCAACTATTCCACAGGCCAGGATGTTCAGCTAGCAAAGGAGAGGGAAGGGGAGAAAAACAAAAGCAAAGCAAACACACAGCTTTAGGAGACTGATAAAGATTCTCTTTATTCCCCATCCCCTTAGAGCTGCATTTTGTATTGGTTCAACACTCAAGTTAACAAGATATGTGGGGATCAACCAGCTGCTCCCACTAGTTATCCAGACACCCTGCAAGGACAGCAGCAGAAGCACCCACCAGTGGTTGTCTTCAGTCTACATGCAGCATCAGACAAAAATCATTCCTTTGCCTATGGATCTGTCAATACAAGCGGGACTGAGCTGGAACTCTAGAGCCAGTCCCAAGCTATGCGAGGCCATGTTAAGTCTTCTGCACATATCCCAAAGATCCGTGTTTTGAGAGAAAGCGTTGGACACCCCTTCCTCCCTTTTCCTGAGGTAGCCATGCAGATTACTTACAATTCTTGGACAGCCAAAAAATAGCACCGGAATCATCAAGGCCACACAAGTAAAGGTCACCCAAAACACAACATCATCACGGAAGACTTTGTAATCTCCTGCAAAGATACCACATTCCACAACTGAAGTGGTTTCTTTTTAACTAGCACTAACAAAACATACTTACCCTTTTTTGTTTGATTAAAAAGGGATTTGAAGTGAATTCCTCCCCAAACACATTCAGAAAGCACATGGAAAACAGCTCCTGAGCTCAACAGCCAATTTAAAGCCCATTTCAGTAATGTTACCCTTTACTATGGCAGAAAACAAGACAATCCTGACTCTATTACCCTAAAGAGTAATGCCACTCTGAAGCATTTGCTACTCATCCGATAGAGCATCTGAGTGCTTCTGTACAGTGAGGGGGCATTTATTACCTGTATAAGTTTATAATCTATATCTAGACAGGTTTGGCTCTAGCCTCTGATGGAAGAAGTGCAGCCCATACATGGAGCAACAAACTGCTGCCTTTCAAAACAGTAACTAAGTCACTGGAATAAACAGGGTTTTGCTCCCCCTGCTTTCAAGGCCTGCCAGTAAAACACAGGGACACATCGACCCCAAGATGATCCACTGCTTTCCCACAATGCAGAACAACCAGGGATTACATGGACTCTCACAGAACCTGGGCTCAAATGCAGACAGTGTGAGTACAAAAAATGGCCCTAGCAGGGGATCATTGGTAAGACTGAAAGAAGTGCAGTTTTGAGAGATAAATTTAGAGCAGAGGAAGGAGTGTGGCAGGTGCCCGATATCCCTGAGTGTTTATAGCCCTGCAGCCAGGCTTCCTTGTAGTGGATTTGTCTTCTCCTATTGCTTCTCTCCAAGTAATTCTCAAGACGCTGATGGGATCTTTAGACCTTCACTTGGTTGCCTGCACTTCTGATGCTTCTTAGTTAAACTGTATGCTCCACAGCAACTTGTTTAGGATCAGAGAGAACAAGACAGACAGCAAACATGTGCCTGAGGCACAGATGCTGTCACAGACTGCTGAGACAGCAAAGCAGCTTGGGTGAGGAGAGCCCCAGCGAGTTGTCTGCAGAACAAGTGGTTTCCTTTTCCCACCAGTGGTGGTTCCCAAAGTAATTCAACTGCAGCACACCTGGAGACATGCTTCAGGGACAGCTCTTCATCCCAGCATTGGCAGGCACTGGGAAGCTCCCAGCACATGGAGATAAACCAGTCTGCAGCATGTAGCTTTGCAGTGTCCCAGACAGATATCAGAAGCTAAGCCCAAAAACTAGATCCTGTAATACAGCAGTAAAGCACCTAGGTAGCCAACACCCTGCAATGGAGCATTTCAGCGCATACCTAGTGGGGTGAAGAAGATGGCTGAGGAGAAGAGAAATCCCAGCACAAGCCCAATAATCAACATACAAAGTAGGACCGAGCCAAATCTCCACCAGGCAGCAACCAGGAGAAGCCCTCCAATAATTCCAGCTGCTGCTGTCAAAATCAGACGCACTGAAAAAGAAGAGCAGAAATACCAAACTAGGAACCGTCACGACACTCTGGAAGCTTCAGTTACTGCAGCAGTGAATAGAGCAGTTTTACTTGCATGCTTGAGTTCTTACAGCTAGACCCTCACAAGCATATCAGTATTCACAGTAACAGCTATCACACAGGTGTCTTTCACACATGTCACTTGAAGCCTCTAGCCAGCACCAGAGAGCAGTGTAGATTTGCAATCAAAGTGTACAAATACCTGAGGGGAGAATGTAAAGAGGATGGGGCCAGACTCTTCTTGGTGATGGTCGGTGACAGGACAAGGGGTAATGGGTATAAATTAAAACACAGGAAGTTTCATCTTCATGTGAGGAAGAACTTCTTCACTGTGAGGGTGACAGAACCTCGGAACAGGCTGCCCGGAGAGGTTGTGGAATCGCCTTCTCTGGAGATCTTCCAAATCTGCCTGGATGCCACCCTGTGCCCCATGCTCCAGGTGTCCCTGCTAGAGCAGGGGGGTTGGACGAGAAGATCTCTAGAGGGCCCTTCCAACCTTAACCACTCTGTGACTCTATTAAAGTGCTGCTACTCTGCCCAGCAGTACCTTGGGTTCCCAGGGCAGCTGGGTGTCAGATAACACACACTATCTGGAGCTAGGATCTATGAAGAGACAAAAACACTATTTCTTGTCAGCCTAACATACAGGGTACAGGCTGTTCGTGTTGTCAGTTTACAGAGAAAAACTGCATTTGAGCCAGAACGACCCTCATCCCCACCATCATGAAAGAAATGGAAAAGAAATAGCAGGCTGCAAGTTGCCAGCTATCTTCTCTGTTGATCCTTGAATAGATATTCAAGTGAGCTGCAGCTGTGCAAGACTTACTTGTGCATCGCAACCATGTGAGATGGGAAGCAGCACTTATTCTGTGTGTGTTAGTGCTGCTGGTGTTGTTAGAACTCAGCTCAGTCACCTGTTTACTGCACTCCTACCCTTCAGGCTAGCCAGCCACAAGTGCAATCAAAGTTTTAAGGCCATAACAACATACGTTTTGGGAACAGGACTGCATATCACACATCTACTCACCATCGTAACCAAGGCCAGTTACCCTAGTAATGAATACAAAGAAGAAGAATCCTGTGAATATGAAGCCCATGAAGAATAAGTCTAGAGAAACAGAGGGAAAAAGATTTAGTGCTGTCATATCACTTCATCCCAAACCTACTTTACACCCTCAGACTCCTTTGCTTTACCGCAGTGAACAGGAAGCCTCAGCTCCCTGGCCAGGAGACACAAAAGGAAGAACAGATAGTGCTGTTTTGTTCAGGAAAAATGCTCTTGGGTACGTCAAATAATCGAAAGAGTTAGGTGTTTGTATCTATGCCTCCCAGCATGCAAGTCTAGTTCCTGTCTCTTGTTCTCTGAATACCAGAAGTTTCTTGTTCTGCACCCAAGAGTTCTGATCCCACTAAAGCAAAGCAGCAAACAGAGCTGACAGAATCAGCCAAGTGATTCTTAAGAGTAATACTGCACTTCTATGTTACATCAATTAACAACTGTAAAATTCCATCCACATTTATGATGAGAGGGTAAAATCACTTCGTACCTGTTTTCCAGAATCTGTGTCCAAAAAAGCAAGTGAAGAGACCAAGAACAGCAAGAGCAGTGAAGAATATTTTGGTAGAGAGTTTGCCTACAAAGAAAAAGAAAAAAGGTAGCTAGAATACTTGTGGCAAACATGAGACTGAGATAAGGTCAGGTTGCTGTCACCCCAGAGTAGTAGCTCCTGCTCCTTCCCAAGTACAATATGAACAGATACACCTAAAGCTTGTCTTAAAACAATCTCCAACAGCATATCTAAGCAATCGCAGGCTAATTGGGAGAAAACTTTCTTCTTCAAGAGACTTAAGTTCCTGCAACTCCACTGCCAAGGCAGTTTTAACCTGCTGTTTATGTTACCATTACAGCTTTACCTGAAAATTCTTTGCTTAGCTTTAAAACTAGGCAACTGAACCATCCATGGAAGATGGTGCTAAAGGCCTAGTGACTGAGGTAGCAAGTGGGGTCTTTGTCACTGCAGCCTTTACCATAGCATCCCTTTAATGCACTTTTTCATAAAACTTTTTTCATAAGAGAAGGACTGTCAGCCTCCCAATTTTGTTCACCCCATCTTTTAAGAAAAATTCTTACTGGTGTTTAAACCAAATGAGACAAGTAAAATTTGAAGTATTTCTTCTCTAATTCAGAGAATTTTAGCCTGGATAATTCACCTCTTGCCTGTAAGAGGACATCAAATTTGACAATACTTACTTATGACAAACAGGAAAATAAAACAGGACAAATCTTGCTTTGCTCTTCATCCCCTCCAATTTTTCCATTATAGTTATCTTCATACAGTGAGAAAACTGAATCCACAGTCATGTTACTACTATTGGCATTTGCTTATTATTGTTAGCACCAGTACAGAAGCCATGTTACTACTATTGGCATTTGCTTCAAAACACTTGCTTATTATTGTTAGCACCAGTACAGATATTGGGCTGGATCCTAACCCAGTTCATGTTTTATTAGCCTAGTTTCACACATAGCATCTACAGCAACAGAGGTAATTTAAGATTAAAAGATTAAGATTAAAAGATTAAGATTTAAGATTATTTAAAGGGAGAAGGCTAGTGTGGCACAACAGAGTTGGTAGTTTGTATTTGCAAACCCTTATTAAAGGCTCTGCTTAGTTTAATACTCAATCACTAACAGCTTCTCTCAGTCTTAAATAATCATTCTAGAAATTATTCTCAATCAAAACACATAATATTGAACAAACAGCTCCTTAACACTTACAAAAGTCTCCAGAGTCTTGCTCAGCGTATTAGAGAACATGAAGCTTCTGAGATTTGCTGGCAAGGACATACAAGGCCCAACTTACTGACAGAAGAGCAGTTATCCACCAGGTCAGAAAAGCTGCAGGCATAGGTATGCACAGGTACGTATGCAGCAGATGTATTCCACAGAGGATCCCACACTATTACATTGTAGATCACACCTTGCCCAGGCAGTGAGGAGAAGTAGACATTGGTCTTGTCATCTGTTGTCAGTGAAAGCACCTGGGACAGTCAAGAGTGTTAATTTTAAAGGGCTGCTCTTACTACTCACAGCATGGTCATGGATAAATGCAGCAGCTTAGGTGCTACTCAGCAACTCAGGGGAAGAGAGCAGCAAAAAGGGAGACCTCTCCTGCTCTGAGCCCTTTGTGTTGCCAGTCCAAGCATTACAGGCTCACAGGATGGATTCTACTTCCTCCCCCCACACCACATGTTTGACAGGGGATAAGATTCTCCAGCCTCTATGTGTTTGCTTCTCTAGTTGAGGGCAAAGTCCAATTTCCCCATCAGGCTACTAGCACAGCTGTAGCCTCTGACACAGGCTTTTTCCTGCTCTACCCCTAGCAAGGCTGCACTGGTCACAGCTGCTGACATTCTTCCCCATCCCTCCTGGATCATCTTTCTGGGCAGCAGGGAACACATGGTGACAGCAAACACTTCTTGTCAGATCTTTTCATGCCTCTCCAAACTGGATCCAGTTTCTAGCTCAGGTCCACCACACTTTCCTACCTCCTGTTCCTTGCACTCCCTGCCCAGCCCACAGCACCTGCCAGACACTGTAGGACCCTGTGCCCATCCTTTTAGAAGTGGCTCTTCTTCCACAAACCTGCAACATGAGCAGGTTAGGCTCCCTGGTCAGCTCTATGCCTCCATCAGTGGTTGCTGTACTGTATTTTGTACACTTCCTAGACAGTAATCTCACTGAAAAAGCACGAGGCATCAGCAGCTCGCCTTTGTCACTACTCAAAGAAATTAAATCACAGGGGAAGTGAAAAGTTAAGCCAATGCTGTGGTCAAATACTTGGCATATTAATGCTTCGGACATACTTTAACGCCATTAGCTTTGATACTGTGAACCTCAGACATCTTCCGGATGTGGTTCATGAGCACCATCTCGGAAAGCTCGTTTTCCGGTAAAAAGTACTGGTAGACGTCGTAACGCAGCCGCCATCTGGAGTTCTGACCGGTCCCCGAATCACAGGATGGTGCATTTGCTCCTCTGTAATTGCAGAGACATCAGCTACATCCCCAGCATAAGTTCTCAGCTATTAAATTTCCCTGTCTGAGCTGGCAACATCTGACTTCTCCGTTCAGTTTTGGATCAATTGCTGGGATGGACTCCCAGAATGCCCAGGGACTTGGACTACAGCAGTATTACACTGCAGAATCCTGATGCAGATAAAGGCAAAGGCCAGAACAGACTCTTCAAGTTCACAGAAGCTTCCCATAAACTGTCATAAGGAACTGGTACATGAATTCCAAGATGCCACAACAGCCAGAGTGTTACAGCTCTGGTGTTTGTTTTTCCTGTGTATTTATAAATTAATATTTATAAAAATTTTAACTATTTATTTATAAATCTATAATTTAGAGCAATTTATAAAAAGCTCCATCGAAATACATGAACACAGTGGATAGGGAATGGGAAGGCCACCTAGGACACCCTGCGCTACCCAGGAGATAACAAATTATGACCTGAAGTGTTAACGCTTGGCAACGTCTTAGGTTATCATCATGCTTTCATAGAAGTGATGAAACAGGCTATGAAGCACAGTTTTTCCCTGAAATGAATAAGCCACCATGAGAAACAGGAAAATCTAGCATTTGCTGAGCGCTTGCACCACTGAAGTTATAAGTTGTATAACATTTCCCACCAGCTTCAGCTTTCAACTCTTTTGTTTTGTTACCCCTCTGCCCTCCTTCATCTTTTAGCCTACTTGTTTCAGCAAACAAGATTTCTGCCAGGAGCTGGATGCACAGCCTTTCCAGCAGAATCTTGTTTTATGATCCTGGCCAAGCATGGAATTAGAAAGGTCTGACCATCAGCATACTGAAGTTTCCACACACCTGGCATATCCCAAGTTTGCAGGTGCAAACTTGATGTGGACATCAACCAAGGTATAGTCTAGGTAGATATTGGGATCCACTTCCAAGTCAAATTCTAGATTGCAGCCTCCAGGAATAGGATCTGAAATACAGATAGTTAACTACAGTAGCTCTTACTCCTCATTTACACAGTATGAAAAGTTTTAGTAAGACTCCCAAAACAGATACTTGTAGGCACAGTCTATATGCTAAGTATCTGGAATAATCATGTTTCAGCCTTATACACAAGTACTTTCTCTACAATCACCAGTATAGGCCCCATTATAGATGCACAGCAGTTTGCAGCTCTAAGGCTGAAATCATGACACGACCACACAATACATCCGATACACATGGCTTAACTCAGTATTGATCCCAAGATTTGACAGCCCATTTCAATGGAATTTCTGGCATCTCCATCTGACATTTTCACCATTTAGGACCATCATCTCTAGAAGATCCATTCTCATGGCTAACTTGTAATAAACAGCTAGTTTCTCTTAACAAGTAGTAAGAACATACCTTTTTCCATATAGGGAATGGAGATAGCTGTGCTTAACACGTGGTTAGCATTCAGTGAGCGAAGGTACCACGTACACACACTCTGTTGAGGCCGAAGAATGGAAACCAATCCTTTGTCTTCTCCCGTTCCTGAGGTGTTCACAGAGGGGTTCTGGACAGAAGCAGACCACATAAGTACATATAGTCCTTCCTCGGTACATCTCAGCACAGCCTGACATATTGCACAGGAATCACATTCCTGAGGTCACAAGACTTCAGGCACTCATTTTAGTACCAGCTGCCATAAATTAAGACATTTGGCCCTTACTTCACTAGTAGCTCAGAGGTAGGACAGGAGGGAGAGGGAAAAACAAACAAACAAACATCACCATAATACACATTCAAGACTGTTTTTCAGCTTGGAATGCAAGGTACTTTCCAAGAGGACCACAAAGTTATCTGAAGCAACTCCATATGGAGCTACTGGCTGGATTTAAGGTCTGGCTCGCCTTCATACTTCCAGAGGCAGCCCAGCCCCAGCCAGAAGCAGTACAGACCTTTAGAGGGCACTATCCACACCCTGGTAAACCCTGCAGATACAGACAGGGCCCAAATTAACAATCAAAATAATCCCACCACAGATAATCAAGAGCTCATTAGATCTAGCAGTGGCCCTGGAGGCCTGTAAGCCTGCCTATTTCAAAGAGGGTTGAGGTGGGCAGCTTGAGGTGGGGACAAGCCTCTACCTCTCAGCTAGTCACTAGACCCAACATATTAATAGGGATATATGACCAATTTCTCTCTCCCATATGGCACCTTACACCTAGTCTACACAGAATCACAGAATGGTTGAGGTTGGAAGGGATCCATGGAGATTATCTAGTCCAACCCCCACTACTCAAGCAGGGACACCTAGAGCACGTGGCACAGGATGGCATCCAAGCGGGTTTGGAAGATCTCCAGAGAAGGAGACTCCACGACCTCTCTGGACAGCCTTTTCCAGGGCTCTGTCACCCCCACAGGAAAGAAGTTCTTCCTCACACAGAGATTAAACTCCCTATGTTTCACCTTACACCCATTACCCCTCGTCCTGTCACCGGCCATCACAGAGAAGTGCCTGGCCCCATTCTCCCTACATTTACCCCTCAAGTACTTGAACATGTTGATCAAATCTCCTCTCAGGCTTCTCTTCTCCAGACTAAACAGGCCCAGCTTGCTTAGTCTTTCCTCCTATTCAAACACTACTTAGGCTCTCACAGCAGCAGGAAGTCAGCACTTCAGTACTTTGGGTTATAGGATAACCCAAACCTGATACATAGCAGTAGAAATGCTGATGCTCTTAGCCAGAAATAGCAGCCTTCATTGTAGGACTGAGAAGGACTTTCTCTGTATGTGAAGCAGCCGGGTAACACAATGCTATCTGCAGCAGCCAGACCCAAGACACATAAATAGCAGACACCTGAATCTGCCAGAGTGATCATATTTAGCAGAACAACTGTCAAATGCTTGTCAGGAACCTTTTAAATAAAACCAGATGAGCATCAGCCAGCAGCCACGTGTCAAAAGCACCACTCCCATCACGAATGAAGAGCCTGGAAACACTTTCAATCCATCTCTGAGATTCCTCTTGGTATTCTAGCTTCCAGAACAGCAGCAACAATATACAAGCATGAGAAAGGTGATATTATTTAGCTTCAAAAATCCAGAAAGACATATAGCAAACACCCACTTTATGTTTATACAGCTTCAATTCTACCTCCATCGAGGTGGCAGAGCCAGCTGCTGCTTCTCACATGGCAGGGGCGGGGGACGGGTACAGAACTGGCACTCTTCCCATACCTTATCGAATGATATCACCACGTTGTTTTCCTGGGCATGTACTTGAAAAATGACAACAGTCACATTGCTTGCAATATTCCTGATTACAGCTTCCACTGAATTGGTCTGGTTAAGTAGCACATTTCTGAATTTTCCCAAGGAGAGCTCAAGAAGACCTGCAGCAAGAAAAATAAGAGAACAACATGGTTTTTTTTTGTTTGTTTGTTTGTTTGTTCTGGTTTGTTCAAACAGAAAGCTGATGGCAAGAGGAACCTGGAAGCCTCAGGGAGCCTGATGATTAATCATCTGCGAACAGAGCAAGATGTTGTCTTGTGCTATTCTCGCCCTGTAAATTGTATTTGGGCTTCACAGACTGCTACACATGGCTGTTGTGCTGGGCACAACAGATTAAGCAAGAGATTCCTCCATGCAGCCTGACATGCACCTAAGCACAACACGCAGGACACACAAACAAGTGGCTCTGTATGTAGCACACCTGAACTGCATTAGCAGCAGACACTGGCTGCAGCTGCACAGCTCATGCAATCAAAACTAAGTGATACTGGGTCCACATTAAATGAAAGAGGGGACACTAAAGGCTGTTTGCTCCTCTGCTGCTACAGGAGAGCACCCTTACCTGAACCAGCCAGCTTGCACAATAGCTTTTGCTCCCGGGGGGAATTCCCAGCCCCACGGGAGCTCAAACATCTCAGTCAGCTTCCGTGGCACTGAGTCAAACTTAGTGCAGTTTGCAAGACATGCAGTTTTCATCTGTCCCTTATTCCCACACAGTTCCTGATTATTAGCACTGCAGGACTTTGATTTCTGGGTTTAATAAACCTCTGCCTACTTTGTTTCAAAATACAGAGCCCATTTCTTCTAAGGATAATCATAACTCCATTACCCTCTGACATTTTAAAGAGCCACATGACTCTTTAGGAGAGCCAGCTTGTTGTTCGAGTCCTGCAAGAAAGCTGGCTCCAGCAGAAGGGGAGCAACAGGGTACATCCTCCACTGCTGCTTAGGCTTCAGGAGCTCTCCTTCCCAAGGAGGAAAGTCCTCCCATCCCAAGCTCAGTGCCCAGAGGAGACTCTGTATTCCATCCCTGTTACTTTTTCCTATCTTCCTCAAGAGCCAAGCATCTTTGGCAGCTTCTTCTACTTCTTAGGCTCAAACAGAGGTGAACTCCTAGCCCTGACTCCCCTGCTCTTCTCATGGCAGAGGAAGAGAGGCAGAAAAGTTTAGCTCATATAATCTTGTTAAATTTAATCTTTATACACCCACTCAAGAGACCAAGGCAGTGAGTAGTTTGGTTCCTGGTTTTGGGCCGAGGCCCGAGAAGTTTGATAAGCATTGACAGGGCATCACCAGTAAAACTCTAACTGAAGTATGGGAAGTATCATGAACTACCGATGAAGGAAAAAAAAAAAAAAAAAAAGCCTCCATTTTTCAATTTATGTTAAGAAGCTTCTACTTCTAGTTTTCAGACATGCAAGATGACTATTAATGCAAGATTAGAGATACATTAAAAAAAAAAAAAAAGAACGCTTTGGATGTCTTCCAGTTCTTCATAGAGTCCCTTGAACAGCATTCAGATGCTCTCTACTTCAAAACATCTCTTCTCCTAAGCTCTTATTCCTATACATGTCCGACCAGATCTGCGACTGCAGAGTATGCATAAAAAACACACACAGGGAGATTATAAGCCGATGCATGCAGAGAACTGGAGTAAAAACTAGAACACTGAAACAAAAGCAAAATTTTTCTTGACATTTAAGAACTTCAGTACTGTTTCTGATCTACAAGATACACATTCATCTACATGGGAGAAAAAAAAAAAAAAAGGGAAAACAAATAACTGAACTATACACTTCTTCTGCATGCTCTACAGGAGGGAAGGACAAGCAATGGAGTTTTCCCTCTGCATAAGTAAGGCCAGATCTGCAGTTAGACATGCAGCCACTACTCAAACACGATCATGAGACCAAGTGTCACAGGCCCTCTCAAGCTTAATTACTGTGTGGCAAATTAGAGCACGGTGTTCTAGATTGCTTTAGTGTTTGCATAAATGCTCCTAAAACAGTGCATGTGACATATTTCAAACCAAAAGTTTGAGCTAAGAGCATAAAACCAGAGTGTAAGCAAACACACAAAACAACCTACGTTCATCAGATGGGTGTTTTTCTGCTTGTGGTTTACATGCCCAGGAGCACCACATTTACCAGGCCTGAAAGGCAAGTAGGAGTCCCTATGCTCTCCACAGCACACAGAGCCCTTTAAATCACTTGCAGAAAGACCAAGTGCTACACAGCTGCAGACTGCAGCTCCTAGAAAACTTTCCTGCCTTTAGTTGTGCTGGATAGGAGCATAGGTATTTATAACACTGATAAGCAGGGGCAAGCAAAAATTCACTGTATCTCTTTTCCCACAAGACTAAGACCAAAAGCAGTGAGGGCAGAATTCAGCCTCCTGCAAAGCCCTGCAGAGATCAAAAGCCCTTATTCCAAACTAAGAAACAAACTAGTCACCTCTAGAGATGCTTTACGTGTATTACCCATTCTCTGTGACATGGAAGCAATAACCAGCGTGAAGCATTTCCATTCTGCAAGTCAGCACTGCATTCTCAGTTCATTTAATGGCTGAGGTAAAGGCGTCTCCAGCTGCCCCATCACCAACAGCAGCTAACCACGCAAGGTTCTCATTAACACCCAAAGGCCCTGTTTCCATTAAGAAACGTATTTGAAGACTTGCTGTGGCTGCACCCGCAGAAAGAGCGCTCGCTGCCGTGCTCCGCCACACGCGTGCCTCGGGTGAGTGAGTGCTCTGCAGTCACAGAGAAAGCACTTCCATCTTACGCCAGGCTTTAAGCTTGCCCAGGTTTTAAGAGGCGAGAACCCCGCAACGCAGAGGATGCCGATAAATACACAATGGTGAGGAAATGCAAGCTCAGCAGATAAAAGACTGGCTGAACAGGGACAACACGAATATAGACTTATTTGTGAAACAAAACACATAAGCTTTAGCACATCAGGCGTATGCAGCCACACACAGGGGATGCATAGTCCTGCTGAGGCCACCATCTTCATATGTAAGCACAAATCCAAACACAGATCTGCTAGAAGAGAGAGAGATTTATGAATGCTTTTAACATTTAATTTCATATCCTTACTGCAACCTGTATTCACAGTGTTATTTGATGACAACAGGCAACAGTGGCACAGAACATGCCTGTCACCAACCAGACAATTCCCATTCCAGAAAGACAGCTTTCTAGTAGGCTGCAGAAGTTATTGGGTCTTTCGTCCTCTGGAGAAAGATGACAAGAAGCTCCTAAATCACCTGCATAGAGACTTGTTAATCCACTTTGGTTTACCAGTGCGCATATGCAAGACAGGCCCAAGTCACTTGCAGACACTGCTGATGAAGGTGCCATTTGCACATCTGGGGTAATAATGTCCCTATTTTGCTACACCAGGAGGTACAAGAGAAACGAACACCATTCAGTTGGCTTTATTTTGCATGATTGTTAGTCTGGTCAAATCTTGGATGTGAAGAGTGGTCTTGATCTAGGCAAAAATACATCAAGAGGGCACTGCTGGATCCTGGTTATACTATCAGCTTGGTTTAGTTTTTCCATCACTAAATATCTGATTTAGAAACAAATGAGGACACAGCAAGTGAGGCCAGCTGCTTTCCTGAGCTCCCTGGGAGGCAGTAGACAAGCTTCAACTTAGTCCCTTCAGTTAGACAGTTTCAAATACATTAACATTAAAAAATTGCCCTTCTTTGGGGAGCCCAGCGAGCAACTGGATGTTTATGTGCAAATTATGAAGCTTATTAGCTTTTGTGGAGAAAACACTTCTTCCTTGCCACCCTCAGTTCTGTAAAGGAGCATCACCAATCGTGTCCTTCAAAGCAAAGAGATCATGGGAAGCAGTGAATGCTTGACTGTTCACTGAGATTTGAGATATTAAATTCAGGGAAAGTGGGAAATACTCAGACCTGACACGGATGCCAAATGCTGCCCCAGAGCATTGCTAAGCATCTCAAGGGAATATTTCTCTTTTTGAAGAATTAAGCTTTAACAGAAGAAAGTTGAAAAAAAAAAAAAAACTAAGAGGAGGAAGCTTACATCAACCTTAACCTAAGTGACTACTTAGAAAGGAAACCGGGTCTTTTCCTCTATATGAACAGGAAAAGGAGACAAGGGTTTAATTGGCAAGGGGAAAGAAAGCAATAGTTAGATGTTCACAAGTGGTAACTATTACAGGTCAGGGCTCTGCAAGCCTATTTCAGGTTGCATACAGAAGTCCAGGAGACCCACAGGAAAAAAAAAAAAAAAGAAAGAAAAAAAGAAAAAAAAAAAACACCACTGAGCAGAGCCCGATTATACCAGCACGGCCCACCAGCAACGCGAGGAAGCAAGCTATGGAAGCCAGGGATTTTACTCCTACACTTAAGGCACAGGGATGTTCACGATGCAGCCAGGTCGAGGCCCGGGGCCGCCTGTGCCCGGCCCACGAAGAGCAGCGGGCAGCGAACGCCTCCGCGTCGTATCGCGGCACCACGGCGGACGCCTCAGCTCGCGGGCCCACGCGGCACTCTCCGCGGCGAACAGGTCCAAGGGCGCTCGTTCCCGCTGCGACTCGGAGCTGCTCAACCCTCTTCCCTGAGGGAAACGGCAAGGGGGGGGTGCCAGAATGAGTCCTCCCCCAGCCTCCGCTTTGCGCCAGAGCCAGCGAGCGCTCGGACAACCGTTTCTCCTCGCTTTCCCCCTCTCCGCGCTTCCCCAGGCCGCTCGCTCCCCGCCGCGCCGCCCCGACCAGCGCCGTCCCC